TATTTTTGTCGATGTTGAGTACAAAAAACTTTTATTTCATTCAAAAACAAGATGGTTATCATTATTTCCGGCTATTAATAGATTGTTACAAATATATCCAGCACTTCAGTCATATTTTTTGTCACAAAATCAAATACCGATTGCAATTAAATCATTTTTTTGAAAATCCATTAAATGAAAGTTATTTATGGTTTATTCATTCACTAATGTATGTATTTCATTCAAAAAATTGAAATAATGGAAAAAGAGAATAATTCGATTTGGGAGATTTCGTCAATTTTGTTGTCTGTAGAAAATGCTTTACACGAACGAAAACAACAAGAATTTTTACCCTTAAAAGTAAAAGAAATATTTAAAAATAATTATAATCAATCAGGTGTATCTAATTTAAAAAAAGAAATGTTAAATGTTTATGATCATGGTTTATGTTATTTGAAAAAATGGACAGTCAATTTTGATCAATTTAATTGTTTAAAATGGATGTCTTTAAACACCAAACCTTTATGGACTGATATAGAAAATAGCATTGTATTTTTAAACAAATATGATCTACAATTAAACGACTCTTTATTATTTGATCAATCTCAAAACTTAAATTTGTTTTTGTCGCAAATGGAAAAAAAATGAAGACTTTTCATCATTATTATCTGATAAAAAGTGGGTGAAATATTTTGAACAAAGAAGTTATGATACATCTTCAGAACTATTAAATATATGCACGTTCTACTTCGCCATACCTCCTCAAAATGCCAATGTCGAGAGAATATTTAGTCTTATGAAAGCACAATGGACTGATGACAGAAATAGACTTCTACCCGATTCTGTAAAAAATTTGTTGATGACACAATACAATTTTAAGCATTTTGACTACTTTGGGTAGTTGGTATAGACGCGTTCGGCCCAGCACTACACTGCAAAGTGTTAAATGTGTTGGAAAACCGAAGGGTCCTTCATCGGATCTGCCTTGCGGAAAGGGCAAGAGGTGTTCTTAATTGAACATCTCAGTAACCTCCTAAGCTCAGGTATTTAGCTATGAGAATAGGTTGGCACGGAGGAGGTAAATAAACCGTGTCTATAGAGATCCCACAGTCCTCTGGGAAGGGCTGGGTAGAATCCCTTATTATGTCTGAGGGGCGCAGAGACATAATGGACTTTAAAGATCGTCCCCCACTCGTGGGAAAAGGTATGGATAATAAAAAAAGGCTAAACGAAGATTATGAAGACATGGTAAAGGAAAAAAATGGACAGTTGGGAGAAAGAAGAGAGGAGTCTTCTATTGCAGTTGATGAGGAGGAAACTCCTACCAACTGTAAGAAGAGATTTAGGGAAGAGGATGGTGATGGCGTAGAAAGCTTCACTTACGGTGCGGGGTCTATAACGGACACCGCCGAATTGCGGGATTACACCTGCAATTTGGGACGCCGTGGGAGGGAGCTATCTGATGAGCTTTTCCGTCTTGTCGTTACGATGAGACTGGAGAAGTCAGCTATGACGAAATCAAGGGAAGAATGCTTCATGAAGACCCGTGCAAAAATTATGGGTGTCGTGGACGAACTCGTCTACGCGCAAATGATTATGCAGGGGAGACTTCTAGAGGCGAGACACCTGAGACGTTCCGAGCTGGTGAAGGGAGCAACTCCAGTAGAAGGAGTCGAAGAGAAGGGTGAACCTGCGGAGATGACTTCATCGCCAATGGACACACTTATCAGAGACGACTTCGAGAAAGTTGTGACCGGCATTCATGCCGAAGTGATAAGAGAGAGGAAAGCGCTCAAGAGAAAGAAAAAAAGCGAAAGGAAATCGAAAAGAAGGAAGGAGAAAAGTGTGGAGTTGGAGTTGGGAAAGGGTCCTACGCCTGTGGCTATAATGGACCCCAAGGCATCAACCTCTAAGGAGGTGACTGTCGCCAAGCCGACTGGAAAGGATCCGATTCAAAAGGTTGTTGAAAAACAACCCAAGAAAAAGAAACAAGTACAGAAGGCGTCGGTGACAGAAGGGCGAAAACGGGAGGAAAACCCGGTACGACCCCTCCTTGAAAAGTCTGGGGCACAAAAGCAGGGCGCATGGACGACGGTGAAGAGGAAGGTAAAGAAAGTAAAGAGGGCCGTCCCAAAGGATGTAAGAATACTCCTGGAGGAAACGAAAAAGGTCAGAGAGAAGGGCTGCGGGGCGTTTATCGTCAACTTGCCGCGGAAAGGAGAGGCTGGTTCGGAGAAACCAAAAGTTGTCCCAGAGGCAACCGAGGCGGACCTGATCAAGACTCTCTGGGAAGCGGTGAAGACGGGGATGCACAACCCAAAGTTCAAGAAAGTGAAGAAGGTTGGGGCGGATAAGTTGTACGTGGAGCCGAATGATGAGGAGAGTCGGAAGCTGCTCCAAAACGCTTCGCTCGACCTCCGTCGGGCGGGCGAGAGAAACCCTCGAGTAAAAATACTCGGGGTAGGAATCGAGGTCAAGGATTGCGAAATAGCCTTCCAACTGGAAAAGCAGAACTTTAGTGCTGTTAATCTAGGTATGGGCTGGAGTAACAACCTTGAACTGATTCCTAGGAATAACAGGGTTACGAGTAGGGGACGTGACGTGGAGTTTGAGGTCACGCCCGAGATTGCTGGCGAGATTGTGGGCCAAACGTTGTTTGTTGGGCTGTCCCGTTGTCGGGTGGGCCCCAGTGTTAAAGTATTGCGATGCCATAAGTGCCAGCGATACGGACACATTGGTGCGTCTTGCAAGGCTTCGGTGGTGGTCTGCGGGCGGTGTGCTGGCTCGCATCACGCTGCGTGCTGCACTGCTCGTCCGGCCGCGATACGGTGCGCTTGCTGCGCCGCTAGTGGTTGGGAGAGTGGTCACGTCTCGGGTGACACCTCAAAGTGTCATACGTGGGAGGTGAATTTCCGGCGGGATACATAATATAATTTTGTTTAATATGTGGTTTTGTTCTTAATAGTTATATAAATATATATTAATAGTTATAATAGTTGATGTGTTGTGTTATATTATAAATTTATAATAATTAAATAATACATTACCTAGTGTCTCAGTGCGATAATATGTCTAATTTAATGAACCAGTGGTTAAAACGCAAAAATGAAGACTGCACTGATAATACTGATAGTACAAATAAAAAGAAAATAAATGAGACAATTGTTACTCCGTCTGCAACTTCTGGTTCATCTACATTAAATAGCTTGGTAACTATTAATATTATTAATAGTCCCTCTTTTGAACTAGATGTTGCACATTTTATAAAAGACTCTAATGTAATTTGTTCTGACCATGATCGTGCAAAATTAATAACCATGGATAATTTGCCCGAAAATGATTTTATTCTTCCTTTTTCTGTGCATATAAAAAAAGGTAAAGAAGAAAAAAGATACCTAAACAAAAGTTATTTTGAAAAATATAAATGGTTAACTTTTTCTAAAACAATGTCAGGACTATATTGTAAATTTTGTGTTTTATTCGGTCATAAAGGAGGGAGATACAAAACGATTACATTAAGTAAATTTGTTTCTAAACCATTAAAAAAGTACTCTAAACTCTTAGGAAAAGATAGGGATCTAGAAGTACACAGCAAAAATATTTATCACATAAATTGTGTTCAAGTTGCAGATGATTTTATGAAAACCTTTAATAATCCCCAAAAAGAAGTGATAAATTTAATAAACAGTGAAAGAATGAAACAAATTACAGAAAATAGAAATCGTCTAAAACCCATTGTAGAATCTATCATATTCCTAGGTCGTCAAAATATTCCATTACGGGGTCATCGAGACCATGGAGACTTTTTTGAAAATTATAATGAAGGACATTCTATTGTAAATCAAGGTAATTTTCGTGAACTTCTCAACTACAGAATAAAGGCTGGGGATTTAGCTTTAGAAAATCATTTGAAGACAACACACTCTAAAGCAACCTATATAAGTCCTGTCATTCAAAATGAACTCATTGATTGCTGCAAATCAGTAATTATAGAAAACATTTTAGGGGAAGTAAAAATATCAAAATATTATTGTGTTATTTTTGATGAGACCACCGACATCAGTCATACATCTCAAATGAGTTTGGTGCTCAGATATTTATGTAAAGGAGTTGTGAAAGAAAATTTTGTTTGTTTTATTGATTGTCATGCTTATGCATACAATGAAAAATGTACCACCTTAATCGGAGACGATGAGGATAAAAATGATAATATTAATGAAAAAGATATTAATTTTGAACCAAAACTAAATGGTGACACTTTGGGTGAAATAGTAATTTCTTTATTAAAAAATTATGGCCTTGACCTACAATATTGTGTTGGAGTTGGAACTGACGGCTGTTCTGTGATGGTATCAGAAGTGCGAGGTGCAGTTAAAAAAATTCAGTCACATGCAAAAAATGCTGTCCATAGCCCCTGTTCAAATCACAGTCTGAATTTATCTATATCTAAATCATCTACAGTTCAGTCTATTAGAAACAGTGTCGGACTAATGAAAGAAATATTACAGTTCTTTAACTGTTCATCAAAAAGAAATTTTGTTTTGAAAACAATTTTGAATGGTCAGCAACGCTTACTAAGCTTATGTGAGACCCGTTGGACTGAGCGCCATGATAGTGTCATGGTATTCAAAACATCTATACCGTATATAATAAAAAGTTTAACAAAAATTTCTGAATGGCAAGAATCTGATTCATCTTCTAAGGCTAGAACTTTATTAACAGCTTTATGTAGTTGTGAATTCATAATTGCAATTCATTCTTTAGCAAATATTTTATGTGTGACAGCACCTGTTAGCCGCATTCTCCAAGGTTTGAACTATGATATATTAAATGCTAAAAACTGTATTGATGATATAATATTTAATTTAGAAAATAAACGTACCAATTGTCTTGTAATATTTGGAGATATATATCAAGAGTGTGTATTGTTAATGAACGAAATGGATATCGAAGTAAAAATTCCTAGATTATCGAAATATCAAACAAAACGCTCTAACCATCCAGTAAATAATATAGAAGAGTATTATAGAGTATCACTATTTATACCATTACTGGAAAATATCCTAGAAGACTTAAGATCAAGATTCATAAGAAAAGAAAATAAGATGTTATTAGATTTATGTTTGTTAATTCCACGCTACATTACTGACATTTCTAATGACGATTTTAAAAAAATAACAGAAGCTGCCACAGAATTATTTGTATTTAATGAAGAAGAATCTGTTGACCAAATCGAGCTAAAAACAGAACTAGATCTATGGAAAACTAAATGGCAACGAATAAAAACTGATGGTAAAAAATGTTTGTAATTATACTTTTCTTAAAACTGTATTAATTGATTGTTTTATAATTTTGTTTAAGGTCATGAAATTTGTCAAGATGCTTTGTCATCAATGGAAAATTGTAATAGTATCATTTATCCAACTTTGCATAAATTAATAAGTATTATTGCTTGTCTGCCTATTAGTGTAGCATCCGCAGAACGCAGCTTTTCAACGCTTAGAAGGTTTGGTGCATGTGTTAATTATTAGAATAAAAATTAGCTAGCTTCTATAAAATACTTTAACTATATACCTACAACCTAATACTATATATATTCTATATATATAATAGTATATATATATATATATATTTACAATGCTTAAAATTAAAGATCTGTTTTTCTTCTTAAATTGCATTAAAAAAAACTTTTAATTCTTCTCTTTGCTTACTTTTGTTGCTTTTTTTGTTAGATTGAAAACCTGGTTAAGATCTAGAATGGGACAAGAACGCTTGACTGGTTTGGCTTTGCTAAACATACACCATACTTTAACCATATCAGTAGATGATGTTATAAATAGATTTGCTAATACAAAAAAAAGAAATATAGATTTTGTTTTGTAAATATGTTGTTTTTTTATCATATTAGTAACTTATTACTTTATAGGTTATATTATACAGGTACAATATAAAATTAATTATGTCTAGGTAAGTTTATGTAAATGGTTGCCGGTTTGGAATATTCTTTTTAAAATCGCCCCCCCTCAGATGAACTCTCAAATACGCCACTGTGACAAAGAGCTACCTAGACGGCCGAAAGGCCCACCTGGCAATTGGAGACATGACACTCTCGACGACCCTAACAAAGGGTTGCCCGCAGGGCTCGGAGTTCAGTCCCGACCTCTGGAGGTACGCGGTCAACCCGCTCTTGTCCGGCGATCTTCCCCCGGGGACGGAGATAGTCGCGTACGCGGACGATCTCGCGCTACTCATCTCCGGGAAACACCGTCCGGAGCTCACGGAACGCGCGAACGCGCTGCTAGAAATAGCGTCGAGATGGGCCTCCGACAGGAAACTCACCTTCTCGGCGGCCAAGTCGCAGACCTTGTGGATCAAGGGCCAACTAAGTAAGCCCCTTGACTTGCGACTTGGTGGGACTAAGGTAAAAATGACCCCGGAGGCGAAATACCTCGGGGTCACGTTTGACCCGCAAAGGAAGTTTAGCTCCCATCTGGCGGAAAAGGCTGCGTCCTTGGTAGCGCTATTCAGTCGACTAATATCTGTGGCTAAGGCTAGCTGGGGCATTAAAGAAAGGACGACGAGGATCCTGTACAAATCGGTGTTCCTGCCGCGTATGAGTTATGCGGCCTCGGTATGGGCCGAGCGCTGCATGGCGCAGTACCGGCATCGAACACGGGCTAACACCGCCCAAAGACGCCCGTTACTGGCAATGACGGGCGCGTATAATACCACGTCGACGATGGCGCTCCAGGTCCTAGCCGGAGTACCTCCCCTCGACTTAGAACTGGTTCGGCTGGCTAAGATCGAACGGGATAAGAACGCCGTGAGGAGAGGCAACAAGTCGGCGTCAGAAGTTGCTGGAATAGCGAAACAATATTATGACACTACCATACGCCTCTGGCAGGAGAGATGGGTCGCCAGCGACAAAGGTAGGCGGACGGCGATTTGGTTCCCGGACGTGCGGCGCAGGCTCGAGAGACCGTGGTTCGTTCCGGACCACTACATCTCGCAGTTTGTGACCGGGCACGGGAATTTCAATTCGTCGCTCTGTCGTTTCAACCTTCGAGGCGAGGCACGTTGCCGATGCGGTATTCCAGAGGAAACCGCGGAGCATGTGCTATACGATTGCCCATCATATAGCCAGGAAAGAAACAAGCTCGCAGCCGCAGCGCAAGCGGAAGGTGTGGACTGGCCGTGCGACTGCGATACCATGACCTCCACGGAGGCCATGTTCCTTGTGTTCAAAAACTTCTCCCGGGAGGTCCTAGAACGTAAAGATGTAGGGCGACCCCGCGGGCACGACCCAGACCCCTAATTTTAAAACCACAGCGGTCGGGCGTGTGGCTAGAGGGCGTACGTGCAGAGCACG